CCCCTCAAAAGTTAAATGGTCGGCCCCTAATCTAATTATGACGAAACAAACGTATATCGTGCGCGCGAGACTAAATTACTTAACAGCAATTCCCCACAACATGCTGCTATTTTGTGCAGATTGTTAATTCGACAATATTGAACATGCGACTGCATTTCCTGCCGACCAAGTGTAAAAATTCAAATAATTCTTGATATCTACAAAAAGTTACAGACAAGAGAAGCATGTAGTAAAGTCTAAACAGTAAAGATACAGTTATTACTGCACCTGAAATTGAAAGTTTATATGCTGGTTGACACGTAATGACAATACGAAGACAGACAAGGAATGGATAGTGTATGCAGTACAGTGACTACAGTATGCCCTGCCTAAGAAACTGAAGTAAATGAAAAGACTGAGGAGTAAGATGAAGATGAATCGATCACTGATGATTACAGGGGCCGGTTGTTCAAAGGTGGATCAGCGCTAATCCTGGTTTAAAATTTAACTCACTGTTTTAGTTTGTGTATTTCTTCATGTCCATTTATTTCAAAATGTCAGAAAAGAAAACTCCTATTGATCCAGACATGATTTGTGAAGAAATATTCCCAAATTTAAAAACAAGCTGTTAGGAAGTGTACTTTGAATTTGAAGTTAACCTAAGGTTAAGCTAATCGGCTTTTGAACAACCCGCCCCTGGGAGAAAAGAATGATAAAATGTCCCTCGAGATGCCAAGACAGGGTTCGTAGCGGTCTTTGGAATCCTTGAAAGTCTTTAAATTTGAATACAGGTCTTTAAGGTCTTTGAAAAGTCTTTGAAGTGTGTGAAAAAGCGAAGAAAGTCTTTAAAAGTCTTTAAATTCTTTAGTGATTATTTTCTAACTAATAAAGTAGACTGATTGAAGAAAAATTTGACGAAAAAGTGCATTTTAGGATGTGATTTGACGGGACTAATTACCTGGTAAAAATGGTGCTTATACATCGCATTTTTCGACACTTGATTGCTCGCAAAGGTCTTTGAAAAGTCTTTGACAATAGGCAGAAAAAATCTTTGAAAGTCTTGGAAATTTTTTGGTCTTGGAGACTACGAACCCTGCAAGATGTAACTGTCGGTCAATCTTACTTTGTGGATTATCTAAAATTTTCGTCCAAACCAAAAGGCAGATTAAAAATTTGTATCCATGGTTTTTATCTTGCCTTTTCATTCTCTGGTTCGGGAGGCCGATGTCAGAAAACTGCGGTGTTTTGGGTCTCATCTTTACTTGGTTCTTTACTGATTTTCTGACTCGTGCGAAGAGTACGTGATAACTTCTCCTCCCCTGGATTTGGAGCCGGCTGTACCGGTTGTATGAAGGCCGGATAGTGATTTTTTGAACCTTCGTAAAATTGCCTAAAACTGTGAAACTACAGATATGGTCCTCACCGACACCATTAATATGAAAAAACCTCATAAATATATAGTTACTGCACTCATGCACTGTCATCTTGGTTATACTGTCAATTTCAGAAAGGTCGAAAAAATCACTATCCGGTGCAGTTTAGACCCAACGCAGGCAGCCGAGAAGCCCTGGGAACGAGGATGACCTAGGGCCTTTACTCGGCAGGCGGCACTTGATTTGTAGGTTGTTAATCGATCGCCGCCCAAATGCTAGGTTCCAGTCTTCTCACGTGAAAAGCGCTGAAATTTGCTGAAACAGTGGCTGAAATAGATCAAATAGAAGGCCATATAGCCTAGGCTGTATCCGGTGGATAGCGTCCTAAGGCTAAGCGCGATCTTTTCCGGGGGTGCAAAACTCTTACTACAGCATATAGGTTTCGAAGGGCATTTTATTCCTTGGTTGTCTTCATTAAATTTGGCAGCTTTCTTTGACGGAACAACGAGTTCTTTCGTGTCGAGAAAATATGTTGTAATCTTGTATTTGGTGGCAAATAAATAAAATTGACAGATGTAGTCTAACTTTCTTGTTCCCACTACACAAATGATGACCTCCATCTGCTGTCCTGTACGCTTACTGATACCCAGCAACGTAAAACTAGAAAGCTGACTTTGGTGGGCACTAATTGCCTCAGGCAATGCAAGGGGGCCTGGAAATGGCATACCGCAGTAGTTGTGATGACGTCAGAGTAAGTCAGAGTTGGGCCGAAGCGGCCGAACCGCCGAAGGTGGTTGAGCCATTGTTGAGCGCTCTTCGTTATTGTCTCAAGATGGATTGGTAGGAACACTCGTATTGCTACAAGATTGTTGGCTGTTTTATTAGCGGGTATGTAGTTGTTTTCTACATTCTACAATAATTGCGAAATATTTATTAATCTTGAATAAAGCAATGCAATATTTTCGACATTCAATTCCGAACAGCGGAACAGGTCGAATATGTATATGGACTACGGGTAAAATTGAATAACAATTTTTTCTTAACATAACGTAATTTATACTGTAGAATGTCGAATTCTGAAGTAAAAAGAACATCAAGTTTACAAGGGAGTAAATAAATCTCATGTGAAAAAAAAAACAAGAAGGGAATTGCGTTGTTTTGAAATGAAGCTGATCGTGATACGATCGGGACCTGAATGACGAGTTTTGGCGACAAGCCTATATTTAGTTGAATTGGATTTTTTACGCTTTCTTTTCAAACAAACGTTACCCCTATTTACTAGTTTACAACCCAGTGACCTTTAACTGTCCCTAAAGGGTATTTAAACCGAGTAATTCTTGAGAAAAGCGACATTTCAACGGTTTTCTAATGAAATGCGTGATCAGCCATCTTCCACGAAAACGACCGTTTTCTGCGAACCATGCGAAGGATTCCTGGTAAAACAGGAAGAGATGACGAAATGTTGCATTATGTAAACTGCGACATATTTCAATGGTTTTACTAGTCGATGTTTCAACATAATTTTACACTAAGTCTTGATGATATACATATACGCACAAGAAAAATTTTTTTGGGTTACTTTGCAGTGTTATACAGAAAAACATTTCTTACGATATCAAGTTGCGTCTTTCGTGCGGTTCATATAACATATTCCGGCGTTCATGTCGTGGGATACGGTAACGACCGCACGAGAAAAACTATGTGGTTCTAAGATAGACTAGTGTTTTAAAGCAAAGTAAAACAGTACAATGTAAAAGGTTATTCCTATATGTGACTTTTTAGCCCAATTTCAAAATCTGTAGCATTGAGCTGGGCTACAGAGTACAGAGCTAGGCATGACTATCTTGATCATGAAACAAGCTTTGCATTGGACAGTTCGTACGCGCAAATATGTCACACAAGATTTCATTCTTTAAAATTTTATTTGATCAATTATAATTAACAGATGAATCACAATAAGGTAATATATAGTCAATATTCAAACAAAACTAGAACTATTGTTACATACAAAAACCCAACGGATTAACTTTTAGTCGTACAGTAGTAACTATTAAAATATGAAGTTATACTTTATTATACTCTAATATGTTGAGATGTATTAAAGACGAGTTGTGATAAGAGAAAACACACAGGAGGATTAAGCCCATTTGGTCGTAACTGTCGTGAAGATGTCAATAGGGACATTTACCTTTAAATAACTTTAAACAAATCTTATATAAATTTAATGCAGGTTTCGGGGTTAAGACAGAGGTTTAGAGTTGAGAAGGCTACTAAGCCAATTTGCCGAGTACCCCTTATCACGGATTGAAACGGAGGCGGTGTAACGAGGGACTTTTCTACACTATCATAAATTTAATTGTCGCAACATGTCAAGATGATCGACGTACAGTAGGCCTTACTGTCATTCTACTGGGATGGTAACAACCTCGTTCCCAGGCACTTCCCTCCTGTGGAGGTTGGGTTGGTAAATCGGTCTTAAGACAAGTTGAGATTCCAGAGCCTACAATATATCTTTGCAATCAATTAATTAAGACTGTTTTGTATCCAGCACGATATCCAAGATAGTTCCAGACTATTGTACACCGGCGAATACGCTTTCGTCACGACAGTCAGTCACAATTAATACTTGTTAAAAAGGGACAAAACATCAAATTCATTTATATGTATAAGATTCATCATTCATATATTAGGGCCAGGTCCAGCCAATTGGTCCGGCCTAGACCGTTACTCGGCTGGTTTTGGCAATTTTGTGCTAGCATTTGGTCAGTATGACGTCACATGCGCTCATCTCCCTTCATTTCCCATGTGATGTCATTCTTACCAAATGCTAGCCCAAACATGAACCCAGCCTAGATCCTCGCCTTTTCGCTTCCGCCTACTATTTTAGGGTGGTACCTTACTATACAAGGGTTTCAAAATCGATCCAGTCACGCGAGAAGGCCTGGACTAGGCTATCTATAAGCTACACAGTGCTTTAGAAAGCTACATCCCTTAGTTTTTAACATAATTGATAGTCAATCCAGTCAAATGTGTAGGTCTGTACTTATATGCCTTCTCTTTCAAACTCGTCTGATAAATATCTCTACGTCTAATGTTAGTTTTACTTTATATATATTTACATATTATAAAACAATAGAAGGTCTGGGAACTAGCGATCATTTTGATATAATGCATTGCTTTCCCACACCTTCTATAGTTTCATGAAGATTTTTGGTCTTTAAAACAAGATAACATTAGTGAGGTTCAGATTTGACGACCACTACCATTAAGGGACCATTAGCCAATCAGATGCGTTTTATATATCCGATCAACCAATCAGATGTTTACTAAGCCAGTGAGAGGTAGCAGTAGTGGAAGTCAAATCTGAACCTCTCTATTAGTTTTTAAAAATCCTCATGAAAGGAGAAAATTGAGCAAATGCAATGTTTATGGCAACGACCACAAAATTGAACAGGACATGCTCTTACCATGTATTTGAAAAAACTGTTTAATTAGAGGGATTACAGGATTAAACTACCTAAAAAATATAACAACGTAGTTTGACCGTACAAATCCCTCAAAATTATTGTTCATCGTTGGAACCCCACACTCAAGACACTGTTTAATTGTATCCTATATTTTTGCCCAATCAGTATTTGTTGTGTTTAACTTTTCATCTCACAATAACGTCAAACTATGCTGGGACTTATTGGTTCAAAAATGTTGGATCTATTTAAAGAGACCGTTGGATATCAAATTGATACCTAAAGAGGTCCGGTGTAGGGAGAATCTATAATAAACTGCCATGAACTACCTGAAAAACTTCAACGTTGCAAGGCAAGGCTGTAATTAGCTTCCATTATATACAGTAATTAATTATCACTTATTTACTGAGACCGAGGGAAACAGTGTGTTTTGTGGACTCGAGACCGCCGCCGCAACAACGGCGGTCGAGGGGCCACAAAACACAATGCTTTCCCGAGGTCTCAGTAAATAAGTGTTTTGTTATATATGCCAAAGTATGAATAATTCACCGGTTATTGGAGTGAACTTAATTTGAAACCAAAACTGGATAAATGGAACGCCGTAAATGTTTAGTAAAAAGTTTAAAAAAGGAACTTTGGAACTTCATGGTTGACACGCATGCGTATTGCATCCATTTTATTATTGACCGGTCAATAAATGTTTCATTGCGGACCGGTTCCCGAACATGACGTTTTGTGGACCGGCACGTGACACGGTTTTGACACACTAACTGTATAACAACTTCCATTATCAAATATCAACTAAGCTCGTGACGACAGAAAATGCCATGTGTTGTTTTTTTTCAGGTAGTTCAAATACAAACCACAGCAGCTTATTATTATTGTGGATCTTTATATATATATATCCTTATATATATATATATATCCTTATATATATATATATATATATATATATATATATATATATATATATATATATATATATATATAAGAATAAATTACTGAAAGTAAAGTATTTTGAGTCAGTGTCTTGTACCTTCATATTAACTTTTACAACCAAGGTAAAATGCTTTGAGGTTCCAAAATCCCTCAATGTACCATTAATATCACGTTGTGCCAGCTCTTGTAATAGTGATAGGTGCACCTTCATATCAACTACAAAATCCCTCAATGTACATTCCTATCATGTTGCACCAGTCCTGATGCAGGCGATGGCTTTCTCAACTAATTCCTCTCTTCTTAACAGTTCTTTCATACGGTCTTCACCGTCATCATCACGACATATCGTGACGACATTCGTAGCACGTCTTGTCCGGAGCTGTTCTAGAGCGTATACTGAGGTGGGCTGATCTAGAAGAACAACTAACTCGCAGTGAGGCAACTCGTCTTGTTTTATGTTATCTGTTGAGACAATCACTTGATATTGACGTCGTTTGATTGCTGACATCACTGCCTTCTGTTGGTGAGATCGTGAACCTAAACAAGTACAATATAGAATAGAAATCGTAACTCATTAAGAACTTTGCAAGTTAGTAATAATATAATTGTTTTTGTTTGTGGAAACACCACGTAAATTTATTACTGCAAAGCTTACAATTATATTTTATCGCCATGCAAACATTCAAAGAACTTATTAGTAATAATATATCATACATTTAATAGGCAATTCCAGCTTTTAGTTTATGCGTGTAGGGGACAATCGGAAGTAAGGTATCACATTGCTGATTATATGCTGAAAAATAAAAATGACGGCCGTGTAAACACGGAGTGATAGCTTATACTTGTAAATATTGAAATATTTCGGTTGTTTCGGCAGTTTTTATTGAAATTTTTTAGCATAATCAGCAATATGATACCTTCCCGTCAACCCCTGCGCGCATAACTTAAAAGCTGGAATTGCCTATTGGGCCTTTGTATTGCTAAGTAAGTCAAAATGAGTGGCTGCATGGATTGTATGAGGAACAGTGGGGTTTTCAAAACAATGAAAAGACAATGCAATATCCCGATCTGGACTTATTTATTTTACAAATTATTCGATCGGTAAGTCATTTGCAGGTTTGCATTATGATGTTAAGAGATTTAAACTTTCTGATCATATAAGCCTCTAAACTTAGTTACAACTTGTTTGAGAAGTTTATTTTACCACAGGAGCAGGATAAATTCAAGAAATACAAGGATGAAATGAATGCTGGAAAATATGGTTTGTCCTAATGTACGGCTTTTCAGCAGATTGGAACGGATTACGCGGACATACCAGGCTTTGGTGGCACAAACGTCAAAGCAAGCGCCTTTCACCTCTGAAATCAGAGAGTCGGTCAACGCTCTATCGAAAGTGCTTGGGTTTTCTCGATTCGGGTGCTCCGGTTTCCTACAAGAATAACCCACAAAATGACCCTTCCACCGTAGCTGTGTTCTGCGATCAGACATGAGTCATAAGTTGGCTGAAGAGGCTCCCTTTGAAAGCCTTCGACTCGACTAGGTTGAGCTGGGTCCGTCGTAATTCAGCTTAGCTCTATTAAAGCTGCAAGTTAGGATGATTAACCCCAAATATAATGACAATAGACACTGACCATCAACAAAAGTCGTCTTGACATTTCTCTTGGCCAGTTGAGGACATCGTGCTAAATAGTTCGCTAAGATCTTGGCTGTTTTGTTTAGTTTGACGATCACTAAAGCCAGCGGTCGTTCAGACGAGACACGCGCATTCTCCCACTGCATAATCATCAGTTGCTCAAGAAGTGCACGTAAACCAGAACCGCGAGGGTAGGACAGACTGGAACCTAGTCAAAAATATCAAAAAATGCGATATTAGAGTGTTTGCTTGAACGACCATGTTATAATCTGGGCAAAAACAACTTTAAAATACTGAATTTTATCACGGGGTTTGTTCAGAATGATAGCTGGCTGCATATATTTATGCTACTACTAATACTATCATCTTTATTTACCCTAGCCTCTACCTTCGTTGGGTGACTTTAAACTCTTATTACTAACCAGAAATAACGTCATAAGAATTAGGGTTAGGATCGTATCTAAATTGAGGCTGTTTTAAAATAGGCAAATTGTCTAAATTTTAAAACGACTAAGGAAAACTGATTTCCAGGACGGTTCTACCCAACAAAATCTACGAGAAGTGACGTTTACTTACAGTTTATTTTAAAACTAAAAAAATAAAACTTATTTCAGTGTGTGTAATACTGTACTAGTATTCAATTAGTAACTACATGCATACTCACGTGAAAAACCAGCCTGCATGTATATCTAAATCTAAGAGAAAAGGCAAAAGTCAAGAATATAAATTAAAACTTACCGCAGTTTGGAATTTCTTTCTCCATCAATTGTCGAGATAACTCAAAGCCAGGCAATCCCACATCATTGGCCCATGCAAACCCAAAATCTTCACGTGTCAAGTTCACCAGTAGCTCTTTGGCGAGATCTTCTCCACATTCGAGTAAGGCAAAAATTGCTTCACCGATAGCAAGATAATGACGCCATGTTTTCAAACAAGACGCAGGAAGACGTTTCTCTAGAGACTGGCCTGTTAAATGAATCAATTTAACAAAAGCTTCACTAATCACCGAACCCTCCTTGAATGAAATCTTAAGAAGTTCTCTGTAACTGTTCAGCGGCTGCCATTGAGCACCTAAGTTATCGAATACGAGGTTTAAATAAGTTCCAAGAAGATAGAACATCCTTGATTCTTCCTCACTCAAACCTGTCTGGACACAAACAAACATTGCTTCGTGTTTATCTTGCTCAAGCTCGTTCACTGACTCTGTGGCACAGGACAGGGAAACATCACCCATTAAAGACAAAACATCTTCACACGTTCGCTTCGTTTCGTCCAGGTTCTCCTGGCCTGTTGAGGAATCAATAAAACTAAACAATTTCGGAACATGTCCGTTACGAATGTCCATCTTTGCTTTGAGGTAGTATTTATGAAGGATCGTCTTTGACGCTTCATCATTACAACACATCAGAGCGTGGTCAAATATCAACAGACAGACATCTTTCCACGAAAGAGCACCGCAGTTTAATAATCCTAAACACGTCGAAGATGTGAGCACTCTAACTTGTACTTTGCCACTGGACTGTTTTAACTGTCCTGCATGTAAAGCAACATTCAGTTTCTTTCGTTTACTGTTTGAGCCGAGCTCTTTACGAAGAACTTGAGCTACGTTCAGAGCACTGACAATATCAGGGACAATAACTAAAGCTTCTTTCGTTGGGTTTAAGATAACCGTATGTGCAATAACTTGAGCGATCACAAGATCTTTTCCAGTACCACAGGGTAGATAACAAACTGTGTCCTCTTGCATGGCTTTCTCGTACAATTCTTTCTGGTACGCTTTGGGTGGAGTACCCGTCAGATCTTCCAAGACTTCGCTTGTGTCGGTTTTCAAGGGTAACGGCTGTGGGGATCTGTTATGTTGCTTGTTGTTGCTGTTCCCATGATGTGAATTTTGAACACCTTTAGCATTCATTCCGTAGTTATTTATCTCTTGCCAAAGGCCGTTGCGCTTGTCAGCCTGGATACAATCATTCTTCAGTAGAACCATGCTTTCAGACGTGTGATAGCCGTTTGGAACTCGTGTACAATGGTCGTTTTCGTTTGGAGGAGTAGCGGAATTGTGAAAACCATCGAAAACTCGATGACCATTGTTTTTAGCAGAAAAAGCAGGAGTGCTGAATCCGTTTGAAACACAAGAAGTTTCAGTGGTGTGATAACCATTTGGAATTCGATGACCGTTTTCTTTCGGAGGTGATGGTGTTCTATCCCTCGATAATTCATTTCCGCTTTGCACTGGGCTTCTTCGCTTACGTTCCTCACCAATAACCCCCACATTGCTTCGTGTTGAGCTCGCAAGCCGCCATCTTTGATCGCCGTCTTGGACTATAACATTACGTTCGAGCAGTTTCTGTAACATGAACAGCAGTCTAGCCTCATCTCTGAAGTTAAGTTTTGTTTTAATTTCGTGGACAGTAAGAGAAATGTTTTGTTGAAACACATTCACTAGGTTTGACTCAATAACATGGGCGTAGGGACGAACAATATCACTGTGTGTTGTCGTAGTCGTATAATTGGATTCAACAACATGCGTGTAAGGACGAACACCTTCGCTGGGTGCTATTGTTGTGGTACTTATCGAACAAGGAGCCAAAATGGCCGCCGTCAACGCCGTGAATGCTTCGGTTGTTGAGAAATTATTCTGCCCGTTTTGATCAAAATATGATTCTTTCGATGATTCAAAATATTGCAGATGTTTAGGAGATGGTATTTCTTCTAGATGGGAACTGAATCCATTCAATGTTTTGTAATGTTGTTTTGATGGTGCAGTATGTTCAGTACTTCCTACCAGTGACCACAAGATAGGAGCATAGCCCGACTTTAAAACTAAATGATGCTTTTCAAGATCACTTAGTATCAAATTCACATCGCTAGGTGAGAGTCCAGGCATTTTCGTTGCAATATCGCCAGATGAAATCCCTTGACCAGCTTCTCTTAACACATATACTACCGCTTGTGTTTGCACGAGGTGTTCGTTTTGGGCGCTCATAGACTGTAACACGGTGCTTGGGAAAGGCAATGTAGGGTTGCAGGATTCGTTCAATTCCAGAGATCCCCATAAGCTACTCAGTGCTGTGTTTTCTGTAACCTTGGGAAGATCTTCGCCGTTGAAGACGAAGTACGGTGTAAGGCCGTTGGGTGGCAAGATTGGTTCGACTACTGGAAGTTGTCTTTCTGGAATCGTAGTTTCGTGAACTGCTGGATGGCTTGTATTTAGTGGAATTAGGACCGATGTGTTAGACACGACAGGATCATCAAACGAAAAGAAATGTTCTGTGGAAGTTTCAGAACTTGCTGAATTCGGAGTATCAGGAGAATTGAGAGACTTGCCATTGACTATAAAACAACAACGAAGCAAAATACATATAAAATATCTGTGTATAGAATTCAAGTCGGAAGTTGAAACACCCCTGTTTCTATAAATAACATAAGTCATAAACAACAGAAATTAATTAAAACTAAGCAAGGAACATTTCAAATTTTGTTCTAATTGTTAAAGTCTTGTTCTATATTGTACTTGTAGTATTTGTATATTCGATCGCGCAGCAAAACAAACCTTTTACAGTTTTACTAGACCAAAAATTATTGTGAATTTGTGTTATTAATGTTAAATACAATATTCTGACACGTCTAAGACAAGTATTAAAGACATCAGCAGTGAAAACGATTTCAACCAATACCAAGCAGTATTTCAATTTTTATTCTAATGTCTAATGTGATAAAAATAATACCCTGGATTCCAGAGCCTTCGACAGTAAATATTTCAATTTATTATTTACTGTCGAAGGCTCTGGAATCCAGGGTAGTGATAAAAGAGCAAAACAACAAATCATGCATGCATTACTAGACACCATAGACTATAGTAGTAACATTATCTTGTACATCATAACTTATGAATTATGGTGTCTAGTAATTTTTAGGCATTATATTTTGAGAAAAGACATCCGTTTGACTTTATTGAAACCACTGAGTATTTTAATAAAATATAAAACAACGGTAACTCCGAATTTTAATCGCGTTCTAGCTTTCGACTATGATTCAGTCATCATCCCGTTGTTTTATATTTTATTAAAATACTCAGTGGTTCAGTCCCGTAATTTTTGAGGACTCGTAGGCCAAATATTTACAGACTTGGCACTGAGCCCATATTATGAAAGCGGAGATTTTTGTTATAAAACTTAAAAGTTCAAAAATTATACAAAATTTTGTTCAATAAGGGATTTTCTTTAAATATCAAGGTCTACCAGATAGTAATAAACGAAAATATAACAAAACATTGCCATAAAGTATTTCTCCTATACATGGATACATTATAGGAATATAGCACAGCATTGGCATACGAACTATAAAATGTAAACACGTACAGTCAGTAGTGGGCAAATATAAACTGAAAACATAAACACTTATAGTTTCCAAAGCATGGTAAAACGTCTACTTTTACTTGAGTTTAAAAGTTAAAATTTAGTAATCAAGAACAAAAAGTAGAGAAAATTCTCTGCGTTTTCATATAAAGGCAAGTCAAGTGTCGTGAGGCATGCATACTTCTAATAAAATAATAAATTTTAACATAAACATTATAACAACGATGTAAAATAAACTATCCTTTATTTAAAGTTACAATTTATATATTAAAAGACAGTAGCCTCTTAGTTGATACAGCTAAAACTGTACAGCTATGGGCTCATGCAGGCTGGCGGAAGGCAAAAATATAAAGCATTAATTTGTCATCATAATTTACTCAAATGGTACATGTAAGCTACTATTCCCTTTTTCGTATTCTATAATGTAATGCATATATAGTTCCTTCTTAAATAAAGCCACAGTTTTTATAGACACGAAGAAAATATGAAGTTTAAAGTCTATGTAATATATTAGTCTACAAAGGTCTATATATAGTATAGTAAATTAACAACCTCTGGGAAGCAATGTACAGTCTCCAGTATATAACATGATTAAGATCCCTATAATCCAATGCATCACCTCAAAATTGTTTTAATGAGATAACATACATGTACTACGAGTTTCCCCAGCAGTTTTGTATCAGAGAGAAAGTATAAACACAGTCTTTTGAGTTTTGGGCAAGATCCATAAGCCACTGATATATGGTTTCATTCAAATGATGCAACATAAACTCCCCACAAGTCATTGCTTCAAAAATGATTTATAATACTATATATGAATTTCCTCATTTAGTTTTTATCTGCAAAAACTGAAATAAGATGTTTATTAATAACTATTTTGGAGTAAGATGTTTAACTATGTTTAATTAACTATTTTGGGCAAGTTTCATGACAAATATTGTATACCCCATGCATGTATAAGCCTAAATCAAACCTAAATGTTCCAATGTCCCTTGGATTTGTTAGGGCTATTTTATTTACTGATGAGAACTCTAGAACTAGAGATAATATAAATCTTACTCCATATAAATAATATAATTGCAACTTTGCCAAAGCTGCATCACAGAACCTCCATGGTTATAAGATCCTATTGCATCATCCTTCCCAGCAAACATATATTCAACTGAAAAATTTCACAGATAGACTAAAATATATTGTACATTCACAGCAAAAACACCTTTCTCATATTAAATATTTTGTATTCTTCATGCAATTGCAATCCCAAACATCTACATTTATAAAGCTACAGTGTTTCTAGACCTTTGAGGTATTGCACTATTGTTAATTATTACTAAAATCTAAATTAGTAAATATTATTAAATCCTGCCACAAAACGTTGCTTATACTTAACAGGAAAATAATTATGGGCTAAAGTATCATCTCTGAAAGAACTAATGTATATCATATATTATTCTTTAAAATCATGTTTTCTTCTCATATCATATGTCACCCTATAGCAAAGCCAAAGATAAAGGACAACGCCTCTTTGACAAAAAACATGTCATTTTATGTACCTCAGGTTTGCAAAATGCCCGTCTTATTGTCCCTATTAAATCGCCAATTAAAATAGCCATACGCATTGCTGTACATTTATCCATCAAAATGCCCTTCTACATTTACACTGCGAACGCCTTTCATGCGAAGTTTTTCATGATTTTAAAAACGTACAAAACACGCACTTTAGGACATGCAAGGCTGAATAAAAAGTGTCCACTCGCATTTCAATTTCCTATGGCTATGGAGATTTCCATTTATAACCAAATTCAAGCTTTTTGCGCAGGACTGATACACAGAAACATATTGCCGCGAAAGAAATGAAGCAAACGCAAGCAGAAACATTTTCAAGTGCGAAATCCCATGCAAGTACCTTGAGATGCAACTGTACGCCTTCATCAAAAAGCTTAGCCATTTTATATATACGTGTATGTAAGGACCACATGGCAAATTCGCCTTTTTTCAGTGCCCGAAAAACGAAACCATGTTCTAAATAATGATAGATCACTGAATGCGCAAAAGCTGCGATGAAAACACGAAATATTTCTTATGAAAAGAACGGTATAGAACTGTAAGATCGTATGGCGAGATCGCTATACGCATGTTAATAAAACGACGCGGTAACACCCTCATGACGATCTGAAATTCCATTTTCTGATTTTGATTCACCAAAACGCCGAGTTTTCCTTTTGGGATGTTGAGAACCTACAGTCCAAACGAACGACATGCACCAATGAGGGAAATTCCAGTTATTTTGTATTTTAGTCTGGAATAGAAAGGCGAAGACAGCATGTAAAGACGTGCGCGCGTTATATAGACCTCAAACATTTTGGTACAAAAACGGTACATTTAGCAGGTGAAGACACCTTGGTTTTAGACCTTATGTCGTTAAAAAAAAGTTTGCTAAAACACGGTGAAAACAAGAGTTGGGTAAGGCTCATTTGGACAGGCAAATTTCAATCTAGTTGGCTTATACTTACGAATGCTTCTGAATTCGCCGAGTAGATCTTTCGGCTCGGTATCATTGTCGCAATTTAGATTTTCCCAAGATGAGGAATTCTTCGCAGTTTCTTCAAAAACGTCGCCAAAAATGTTCTGACTTGGCGAAAAATCTTCAGTTCTGGGCCGAGAAGTGCGAGAGTTGATAGATTTTCTTTCTATCGGGATCTTCCTGCCTTGTCCCTTCCCCGAGTTGGTCTTTCGTTCCCGTTTGTGATGTTGTTTGCCGTTGAAATGAGCCTCAGAAACTTTCAGAGATTGAAGACTAACTTCGCAGATCTCGCAGTAGTTTTTGAACCCCTGTCTTTGCTCCTCGACAGCTTTGACCTTTTTCTGATGCATTTTGCCTTTGAAATGGTCTATAGCCGTCATTTTAGAAGTAAGCGGAACATTGCATACATCGCAGTGATCTGGTGTACTATCAAAGTCAGTACCGAGTTCTTGGGCTTTCTTTCTCGCTTCTTCACGTTTAATATGATTCTTACCACGACAATGTGCCCGCCGTTGTTCTGCTGAGTTTAATTTGACATCGCAAACCGGGCAAGGAAACATTTTTACGGTAGCAACACACGAGAATCGTAGAGATGCGTTCGTGAGCTGCCTCAACTGTGGACATTTTATTTCGTACGCAACAATACATCACCGTGAAAACGAGACCGGTTGTAGATTTACTCAATATTTTCCAAGTAAAGCTTCGATTTTTCCTGGTAAAGCAACGACACTTTTACTTCCTGTGGACATCTCATTTCCGCTTTTTGCCGACACCGCTGACATACATCATCTCTGGCACGGTTTACATTCAATACATTGCTTCAAAACATTAATCGCTCGACGTATGTACTAAGCTCAAATACAATTTGTAAAAACATTCAATTGTTGGCAGCAGTGTAGACAACGGAACATATATATTCCTTTGCTGTAACAACATGCTTCGTATGTGTAAAGAATAGTAAATTCACTGCAAATTTCCAAGCGACGAATTTTAGTCAGCCAGTATTGACGCCGTATTTGCCGAATCAATGGCGAATGACTTTCGCTTTTATACAGCTATAAAACATATTGGATCTTATGAATTCCAAGGAGAAGTTGTACAATTTGCGAACATTTATGATTAATTTCATTGATACTTTCTTCGTTTGATTACACAATACACACCCGTGAAGTAAGATATAATATGCAGCAGATCTTGCAATTAATCCTGATCGCGTCCAGTTGTACATTCAGACCAGTGAGACCACAGACGACATAATATATATATTTTCCGTTCTTCAGTAACACCTATTAAAAGAGGTACATAATGATTTAAGGTGGAGTTACACGAGCAACAAAATTGCTGCAACTTGCAACAAAATCTGATTTCAACGCATGTTAATTGAAAATGTTTACACATAAATTACAAATCACAAGACAACATGTGTCGACATTTCTACTTAACATACGTTGAAATCAGATTTTGTTGCAAGTTGCAGCAATTTTGTTGCTCGTTTAACTCCAGCTTTAGAACAAGGCAATGGACTACTGGCATTGACATATCCAGGATAAAAATATTTCCTGGTTTCACCTGTTTATATTCACTGCTGTATATTCAAACCAATCAGTGAGTTCGGTCTGATAAGATCTGTTCAAACCAGTTTAATACGTTGGTCCATCATCACCTTACGTTTTTGATGGAACATGTTGTGTGACTTGTGTCAATGTTTGAGTTCACTCAAAATTTTCATCAAACATAGGAATGGTTTGAACGGGCCTTCAAACAGTTGGTATATAGTAATAGTTAAAATTTAAAAACTCCACAAAAAAGTCTGTACCTTTAAAAATTATGTTTGGTTAGGTAATTTCTTTCAAATCGCACACAGTAGAAAAAATTTCGAATCATTTAGAATAAGTTTTATATATCTATATTTGGACTTTTTAAAACCACTGAAATACAAATACACTGGAAACGTAATAGATTAAGCATACTGTCATATTAAACTTCCTCCTTGCTAAGTGACCTGACCTGCACATTGAATACGTCGTTGTTCACATGCATGGAAATATTTGATATCGCGCTATCAAACACGCTATACGCAAACAATGAACACAGCAGGGTACTTATAATTAAATCTCTCGACATATTTGAAAATCATTATGTATGCATGAAGGATGAAGCACTCGATTGACTAGAAGATTCGTTGCATATAGCTTTACCCTACAACATATATAGCTGTACTGTATAGCTTACAACTTGGGCATCAATGGTACATGTTCTAAATCTTTGAATTATCGTTTACCATAGCATATTTAGCAGGTTTGCAGACATGATTTAACGATTTGCAGGAGAAATGTTTTTGAGATTATGCTCATAAGAGATAAGAGGCTAGGTCAGTAAGGTCAAATTCATGCATTCCACTTCAAAAATTAATGATAATAATTCATCAGAAAAACACAAAGAAAAATCATAAGCGTGTCAGTCGTATATCTTTATATGTGATAGAGATTTCCCCTTGATTTACATAAACTTTAACTTTGATTTTCTCGACTTACACAACGTATATTTTAAAAATTACTTCCACAATGAACTAACTAGATCGATCGTTTTTGAAGCAATTTAAAACATTCGAAGTGCGTGTTTTACTGTTTTATCAGACCTAACGATACTCGGCTTCGCCTCGTATCTTTATATCGGATAAAACACTGCTGCTCATGTTTAAATAGTACTTCAAAAACAGTTTACTTATGTTGCCACAATATCATTCATACAGTCATACTGTTCCTCAAAAAATAAAGGCGAGGTAATACAAGAAACAAAATTGCTGCAAGCCTGCAACTTGCACAAAAGCTGACGTTAATGCATGGTAATTGCTAATTAGAAGTGTTGCATGTTGCTGCAAGTTCGTTGCTTGTATTATTTCACGTTGAACAAAATTAATTCCACAGACCTTTTGTATTTCTGATGGAATCTCTTAAAACATCTCTTGGATGAAAAATCTCTTGGAATTAAAAATACTGCATTTCTGAAAAACAGAGTTTGAAAATAGATTAGAAAGGTTATTCTAAAACTTAAAATATTGATTTGCCTCAGGCCGGGTGTTGCAACTTTGAGTAAGTATTTTCTGTAACATGCCTTGTTGCAAGTTGCAGTAATTTTGTTGTTCATAAAAAACAAGTGTAACTGCAAAGATCGATAACATTTTTTTGTTTATCAACGTTTCGACAAAATATTTCAGTCATCATCAGGATCAGGTTTACTCCGATGACTGAAATATTCGAAACATTGATAGTTAAATATAAAAATGTTATCGATCTTTGGAGTTACACTTGACTTATTTTGTTAAAATACTCTTAATTTAAAGTAGTTCTAAAAAATTTTGTTGTTCATATTTAATTAACTTTTAAAATGATGCCTGAAGAAATTCAGTAAATTTGGCTTATAATTATATTGCTGAACATGGCGTCAATTTTAAAGTATCATCGACAATTCACAATTGCATGTATTTTTTATAATTAACAACTTTTACTATTACTGAATACTGCAGTGGCGGAAATCTTGGTGGGGCGGGGGCGGCCGCCACCCCCCCCCCCCTCCCCCACCTTCACGGAAAATTGACGAATTTTCGGAAATTTTGACCTAAAAGAGGACTAAAAACAGTCTTATCGAGTGCAAATGGGGGGGGGGGTATGTCGGAAAAGTGAATTTCCGCCACTGGAATACTGGTATTTTAGGTTTCTCAACCGGCAGATGTCTTTAAAAAGGTGGCTGACTGTATAAATAGTAAATAAAGCTAAAACAAAAAGGGTGTAGTTTTTAAACGCATTTTATCGCAAATATACGTCGCATATTCATAGACATAGAAAAAAATCGCTTCCTATATGATAATAATTGATAACATATACTGTACTTTCCAGAACTCCTCCCTCGGTTTTGAGAGAGCTAAATCAGTATTGCTAATAGCATTCACCGTTCACATCATATATAGTCTTTCGACTTCGTTTGTTTTCGTTAGACGTTAGCGTTAAATTTCGTTACATTTTGTATATTTTTTATTAACGTTCACTTTCATTTACGTTCACTTTCATTAAACGTTCACTTTTATTTGCGTTCATTTTCATTAACGTTCACTTTTATTTGCGTTCATTTTCATTAACGTTCACTTTTATTTGCGTTCACTCTCACTTGCGTTGCTTTTCTTTCACTAGTGTTTGCATTCATTAGCGTTCGCTTTCATTAAGCATAAAGCGCGTTCACTTTCACTTTTATTATAGCGTTCATTTTCAAGTTAACGTTCCTTTTATTTGCGTTCATTTTCATTAAGGTTCACTTTTATTTGCGTTCGCGTTGAGCCTTGAGGTGCAACCGCTTCTATTAACGATCGTTTTTATTACAAAATAGCTAGGTAGCATTCAGGTGCATAGCTGCAGCTTTGAGTTAGGCAAGTTTTATTCAAGGTGTCTAACTAAGGTAAGTCTACAATTATCTTTGTTACAGTCGTTACAGTAAGTACTAGATAAAACACGGAGCAGCCGATCTGTATCTGATATGACAAACTCGAGCCGAAGGCGCGAGTTTGTATATCAGATACAGATCGGCTTCTCATGTTTTATCGTACTTAAAAAATGACCCATCTTATGAGTTCATTGGCGAAGTAATTTCAAAAAATAAACATTCTCTAAGCCGAGAAAATCAAAGCTGAAGTTTATGTAAATCACTAAATCAGGACAAATCTTTATCCGATTTACAAACATTGATTAAACATTCATTTCTTTTGTATTTTCCTCGTGAATTATTAATGAATTTCTTAAGTATAATTAACGGATTCACAATGTAATATTTTAATATATACTGTATAAAAAACTTCAAAAGCATATGTACAGGGTGCGATAATTCAATGTTTCTAGCCGTACCTGACTGGTACTCCAACAATTTTTGCCCAGTACTTAAGCTGGTACAAACTTAAAAGTCAAGGTGTACCTAAGGCGTATCCTATCTTGCGTTTTATACATACGTATATATAATGCACAGTCTTTGACGGGGAAAATTAAACCTTTCTGAATTTTATATATTTAACAAATACGTTTACTATAGCACGCAATATATCACACACAAAACTAAATTCTCCAGATTTATTAATTTAGTCAGTTCATGATAAAAATTTTAATGGATTGCTAATAACAGGAAATATTTCCAACAGCCTAAAACCTTTAGATCACATTTGGACAATTTTGTAGAAGCAAATCTTTAATGGCATTTGTACAACAAAACAACAATTTTCAAAGCGTTCTTGCGACTCGAATGCCATCGCTTAATAACAGTAGATTTACCAAGGTCTACCAAGGGTACTAACAACCTAACCTCACCGAACCATTTACGGACATAGCGTTATAACAAGCGTAATTCCGAAATCTTCGAAAATTAGTGAATCCTCCACTCTAGTCGACAGCATCCAAAAACACAGATAACAAAGTTAACAACCTTGTTCGATCCGAAAACATGTCGGATGTGTGGAATTTACATGACGGTTTTGAATACCCTGGAAGGTTTGCTAGTTATTGCTAGAAGGAAAATGTAAGTATGCGAATAGCAAATTCTTGTGTACCTACAGTACGTGGTACTTGGCTAAAACAAAGAACTACCAGACCATAATTTTGGCGTACCTCTGGTACGTGAATTATCGCACCCTGGTCGATGTACATAGACTTCATATGTTAACCGCATGATTATAGCCACATGAAACTCAAAGTTGGGTTGCTGTATAATAGGTGGTCTTAATTGGTAATTAATAATGACTATGTAGATCATATAACTCATATTGAGTAATAACCAGACAAAACCACCAGCAATATAGCAATTAATACGTACTAGGGGAGGTCTAGGGGAGCTAGCTAGTCAGGAGGTTAATTTGCAATTTATCCTCTATGGGACAGGTGTGGATGTTTTCTGGAACAGTCCATTTTGATAATTAAGCTGTGAATACAGCATGCAGCCCAACATCAAGTGACAAACACATTGTCTATTAATTGGCATTTGGCAGGCTTGTTCAGTCATTTCAAGAGTTTTGCTGTGAAAACATCTCATTCTGTATTTTGTGTACCGGTATCAATAATAATACATCTGCATTATTATTATTCATGTGAAACATCTGTATTCACCAGCTAATATAATATGTTTTTTAATGTATTTTTATTTTCAACAAGATGACTGCATGTCATCAGCTTTAATTCTGTTGTTTCATGCAAAACAAATGCATTTCTGGATTTTATTAAACCCACGTACTGAACACCATGCAACACTGATTTCCCCTTGACAACTAAAAGGGGATAAATAACAGCCTGAGCCATGACATTTGGCACACACCCCCCCCCAGAAATTTTTGGAATGTGCACCCCTGATAATAGGTAGGATGCATTCATATGCAACTTAATGGGTTAAACACATAAATTCTAAACCCAATTTCAAAATGAATCATAATCAAGCTGCATATGAAATGAAGGTAGTAATATACATCCACCAGGGTCTTAGCTAGCATTTTATAGTTTGGGCGTGTTTCTAAATTTCCAGGGTGTGCCCATGTCAATTGCCTTGAATAGCCAAAAACACGATTCCAGTTATGCTTGTCAACAATAGACTATATACCTGTGGTTGTTCTATGCTTTTCATGAAATACAAGGCGAGCATATGCTCATATTTCGCACTGACATTATAATAAATTACTGTATTTTAGCAACTCTTGGGCATTTAAAATCATTTTAACAACACTACGGTGCCCATTATCCATCAAAACATTAAAACATCACAGATCACTTTTACCAATTTCAACAACTACAGTAGATTTTACAAAGAAATTCTGTATGTTGTTAAGTAGCAACACCTTATTTTATGAACATACATGCACGGCCAAAACTAAATAATGAAGCCGCGTTCATTTTATCTAGCTGTGTTTTTACGTTTTTGGCCGCGATAACACGGCCAACACAGCCTTCTAGCTAAGACCCTGCACCACAATCAGTCAATCAACAACATTTTGCCTAGTATATTAATGTGCGCAATTGTGCCCTGACCTTAATTGTCATAAGACACATAATGACCTCAGTCACAACATTGTCTACCTGCATTGTTATACTTAAATTACATATCTAGAAACATTGGCAAAGATCAAGGTGGTCAGTATTTTAGGAAACTTCATGGAAGTATTTGACAATTATATAATTCAATCCACTAAACTCTTTGTACAATTATAGCTGTAACCATGCAGGCTTGCTTTGACTCAATAATAAAAACCATTAAATCTATGAAATTTCTTGCTTCCATCTATTCTTGGGAATTTAAAGTGCATGCATGCATGAAGACTATAACATAATGGTTTATATTTTAGGAGATTACCTGCCAGGCATAAAATATGTGACAGGATTTGAGAGGATTAAAGTTCTACTGTATTGACCTTGGCATATAGGATGACTGACCACCATGACCATATATATATATTCTCACAAACAGCACTTTTTTTAAATCAAATATTTACCATTTACTAGCCTGCGTCACAGATGCTCGTGGGCAGTTTAGCACTTATCACATTACACACACAGACTATATGTCCTAGTCTAACCATTTACATGCTTGCATGTAGAAAATCAGAACACCTAGTATAAATAACGATCAACTGCAAATTAAAGTCCATGTTTGACAAAATAAGATACTCAGTTCCGAAATATCGCATCTCGAACTGACCCAACTGCGTAGCTCAGTTGGCAGAGCATTGGGCTAGTATTCCAAAGGTCGTAGGTTCGATTCCCACCGTGGCCAGGCATATTTTTCAAGCCTGCCCGGTGTGGATGCACACTCAGAGTAACATCACAAGCATCTTATTCACCTGAGTACACTACACCAACACAATGTTCAAATATCAAGATTATATTATTTACTGGTTATGGGTTATCTACACTGCTCATGCAACGCGAAGAGAAGGAGGGTCCATATCACAAGTTTTGTGATCATGATCAAAAGACCGTTGAAAACAATTTTTGTTTATTTAAAATTAATATTAAAAATTTTTTAAATTCTATCTGGCATGAAAAGCATATAATTATACATGTGCATGCTGATGATAAACCAGGATGCATTTTATAATATAATATATGAATACATAAATATTTCTAAATTTATAGACAATTAAGCTATCAGGGAGTTTGCTTTGAATTTTAGGTTAACCTAGGGTTAAGCTAAACCAGCTTTGAACAACGGCCCCTGTTATTCATAGAACTATAGAGTATTAGGTCAGGAACTAAGATACTGTAAATGCGATTTGTCGGGCCAATCTCACATGCACATTGCTTTTTTATGATATTAACAGCCTGACAAATTACAGGTATGGTTTTCTCGATATATGCACAATCCTACCCTAACGGAGACCCATTTGAAACTAATCCTAACACTGAATATTAATTTACATAGTGAAGTGCCGATAAATCGCAGCGTGTATACAAAATACCTTACCTTTATGAGAAATTATGTCTGCATGGTGTCAGACTGGTTAGGCCAGCGTCAAACGTCGAACTTTTCATGTGCCGAACCTAATGTTAATGAGCTAATTAGTTCTTTGTTTCACTTCATTTGCATTAGGTTCGGCACATGAAAAGTTTGTTGTTTGATCGTGGCCTTAGACCTGTTTCAAATGTCTTGCTTCTCATGTGCTGAATGCATTTGAAACAATAGATGAGGGATTTCAGTTGATTATCTATTGTTTTCAATGCGTTCAGCACATCAGAAGCGCGACGTTTGAAACAGCTATAGTCCTTAGTTATAAAATTAAAGCAAACCAAATTGTACACTCAACTTAGTTCCCAATTTACTATGGAAAATATCTCATTTGGAAAATTGGGAAGTTGTCTCCTCACACTGACAAAAGCATCGCAATTTCTAGAGCGTTTAAGACATAATTTTTCGTAAAATATTAAAAATTTAAAGCATTTTCGTAAAAACTAGTTTAAAACGTGTACGGCTTTCAAATTTCTCACCCATGTAGTAACGTTTTTAATAGAGAACAAGAAATAAAAATGCCTAATTAACGCTCACTGAATTATAGAATGACATATTTTTCATGGCCACGAGCAAAGTGGTTTGTCTTCCCCATATTTTCCCTCTTCCTTCCTAACGACATGAACTGTCTTTCTAAAACCACTATACTATAGCACCTGGGAAATTGCTAGTTCAATTTTTTCATTTATACACTCTATACAGCTATGTATAAATTGTACTAATACGGTTAAATTTGCCAGTAAAAAGCAACACTACTAAGAAATGGCATGAAGTTGAACTTTTTAGTTGGGCGTCTCCAGACGGACACACGCATGCAGAGTTCTGAGACTAATTGTTTTGTTATAAACAAATCAAATTTAACTTACATTATTTCTTTACAGAACGGCGGCTGCTTTCCAAAATAGTTGTCGTGTGTTGTAAACTCAAAATTCTTGCATTGAAAGGCGGTTAGCGAAGCTTTTCTGTGTATTTCCCTCTTCGAAATGAACTGTAGTCAAACTCAAACGCAGATGTCCTTCGAAGCAAAGTCTTAGAATTTCGTCTAAATTTCCAGGTAAAAGCAAAACAGGAAATGCCACCACCGCACCGGAAGTACGGAATCATTGGCTAGATTTCTGACACTGATCTTAATGGAAACTGTGGATATATAAATATTCTTTCAGAATTTTTGGCTAAAAAGAGAATAATACATGGGTGCGCGGGAATACCAGATTTATTTCGAGTGTTGAACATGCAGGGCCGTCCTCAAAAAATTCTTCAGGGGGGTGTAATAAGGTCAAAAAACGCCAAAAAAATTTCGGTCAGTGTACCATTTTAGGGGTCCAAAAATTTTTCCGGACGTACAAAAATTTTCCGGAACATTCAAAAATTTTCCGCACATAACAAATTTTCAACATTTTTTTACATTTTTCCAAAATTTTTACATTTTTCCTCAAAATTTTCCTAAAATTCCCACCACGTTCTTGCCCTTTGCGCCAAAAATATTTAACCCAAATAGCAGTTCTACCGACTGAATAGCAGTCCTGCCGACTGAATACAATTACTGGGGAGGGGGGTGTCACACCCCCCCACACCCCCCCGTAGCTCCGGGCCTGTGAACATGATATCTCACGAGTGAGCGCAGCGAACGAGTGAGATATCATGTTCAACACGAGAAATAAATCTGGTATTTCCAAGCACCCATGTATTTATTATTATTATTATTTTTATTTATTATTTATTTTTTTATTTTTCTGTTTATTATATAAACAAAATTCAGTGAAAAACAATAAAACGTCCGTGGCAATGCGTTTTACAACAAATGATATTTTCACACGTAAAAATATCGTATTTTTTACGTGTGTTTAAATACGATTTTTTTCAGTGGCCAAAAACTCTATATAACACTTATGTTTATATAATAAATGATATTTTTTCGCGCTCATAATCGATTCCCCGCCAGGGAGGTTACACTGTTTTAATTGTGGGCCTGCAGCAATTAGTGTTAGTTGAATGGTTTTGTTGATGGAAATTATTGAGTGTAAATTTATATACATTTAGTAGACCTAACCAGGAAGAGCTGCAAGCAGAGCAGACAAGTCCTGGCTGATAGTCAAACCTGATCTCCTCGTAGCAACACCGCGGAAAAACGTCTGCGCATGCGTCAACCTTACCTGTAATAGTATTGCGAACTTGATGAGAAGAATGAGAAGCTGTTCCGAACGTTTCCGAAGGCTCAAAATGGCAGTAAAAAGGAGTTACTTCATTGTGCGTCTTTACAGCCAGATTTCAAGCGCAAAAATAAACATGTCATTCTAAAAACTAGAAATAAATACAGCCAGAAGGTTCAAGAAATTGTATTGTACAAGAACATGAACTAAAGGTGGATTGTTGACAAATTTATCGTCTGAAACATTTTGTTTATCAACTAAGCAATCACAATTTCCGAATTTTCGTTTGAGATACATTTCTTTAAAACTGAAACTGTGTCGCCAAATATAAAAAAAATTTCGTGTTCACAATAATTAAACTTTAGGATTTATTCTACAATTTGAGTGGGTTAAGAACCTTAACTTTTCGAGAGTTTTCTTAACTGTTTAGTTTGAATTTTTGTTTTGAATAATTTTGCAAAAATTTTCGAAGTCGTGTCGTTAAAATCAACATTTTTTTACATGAATTATATTTCATTCCATACTTTAAATGCCAGGACGCTTTCAATTAATGTCTAGTCTACCCATTTGCTATATTTTCTCGTTTGTTTTACTAATTTTTGACCAATTAATAAGCATGTTTTTGTTTTAGAAATTGATATTCAAATTCCCCGCCATATTTTCATAATTTGGTGCATGCGCAGACGTTTTTCCGCGGTGTTCCTCGTAGCAGCTGAAGAAATTTTCGCTGGAACAGATGTGCGCATGTCCACAGACGGCCACAAGTACCTTGGTTGGAACCTTGGTGGTCGCATCGGTTCTGAGCAAGAAAAGAATGAGTACGTACAGTCCCTCCTCGAAAGTTGGTCCAATCAACTCCGTGTACTGAGTGACATTGCGAAGTACGAGCCTCAAGCAGCCTACAGTGGCGGTGGAACACGGGGGGAGGGGGCTAGGAGGGCTTTAGCCCCCCTCCCCCAGAATGATCGAAGAATGCCAGAATGCGAGACCATTCATACAAACTACGAAGTCGTCAAATTACTGCTCGCCTGCTAAAATACGTACAAAAGAAAATATCCTACTTTGTGATCAAGTGTGAATGTAAATTGATTTTCTTTCACCCTGAATATATATATTTTATCTATACAGTAAATGACTACAAAGTCAGAGTATTGGCCTTTGTGGATATTTAGGAAATAGGACAAATAACAGTTAAGTGAAGAAGTTTCAGACTTTCCTAATGGGTGATTCCAGCAAAAGACGAAATTTTGATCAAAGCACGAAGAACGAAATCCAACACCACAGCTAGAAAGAGCGTTTCAGAATGAGTAAAACTGCAAAGATTGGTTGCTAAATGTTGTAAAATGAAGAAAATATAGTCCTGTAAAGTTCGTAAATGTTGTATATATTTGTATTACGCGCTGTAAAATAACCACTTTCGGCTCAAAAATGGTGGTAGGCCTATACTGTACAAAATTTGCGAACTTCACAGGGCTATATTTTCCTCATTTTACAACAATTCATTGCGAATTTTCCATTTTTTCTCATTTCAAGATGCTCTTTCTAGCTGTGGTAATGGGTTTCGTTCTTCTTGACTTGATCAAAATTTCGTTAATAGCTGGAATCACCATTGATTCTAAGCCACGATTTCGAATAGCGGGACATAGACAAGAACTTCTGATGCAAGCATTGTATTTATCTTGTGTTTGTGCGTGCTCTTTGTGTCAAAGCGAGAGTATGGACTATATGGAATACAATCGTATCAGTTCTAGTTAATTTGGTTAACATTTTTAAATCATTAAAATGCTTAATATTATGTTTTATGTCCAGTCAGAAAAACTTTAACACTGCTTATGTGCTGATTGCGCAGCCATCGTATACTGTGATCTTTTCAAGCTTTTTGCGGCTTATAATTGGTTGTTAATTTACTTCGATTGCTCATTAATTCATCACGAGTCATTGAGTCATGAGATCAAAATCAAATGATCTACGCATAATTGCATATCCGTATTTTTGTAGATTTTGAGCAATTTTTCCGAAAGGTAGGAGAATCACTACACCATAGATATAGGAGATCTAGATTGCTAACGCATACCTAGCGCAGGCGGGGCCTACATGATAAATCCAAGATGGCGGTACAAGAGGGCAAAAAGACTATAGATTCTATTACGAAAATCAAGATTTTTGCATTTTTTGCCGTCGCATTGTTTTGAAACTTATTCGGTCAAATTTTATGGTAAAGAGAAACTTACCGCGAAGATTTTGAGCATATATATGATTGAATTGGATGAAAAATCGCAAAATTATCCAGCGATAAAAGTTCGTGTGAAATGGTCAGTTGGTCAGTTGGAGCGTTTTATTGCCAGAAATACTGTGCTATGTTAACATCTAGTCTTGTGAATGGTGTTTTATACTTGCATCTTTCATCATCATCTGCTCTGTCCTCATAATTATGAAAAATGAACTGTTATGTACCCCCACCCCCCTCCTTGCTTGTTAGAGAAGTAAACTGATGAGAGCACTGGATAAGGGTCTATCATCTATGGTCTGTTATAATTTGCTTTCTATGCAAATAGTGAGCAAAAATTAAAGCAAAACTGTACAAGTTACATATATAGTACTATATCAGTACTGTACACGAACTTTTATCGCTGGATAATTTTGCGAGTTTTCATCCAATTCAATCATACATATGCTCAAAATCTTCGCGGTAAGTTTCTCTTTACCATAAAATGCGACGGCAAAAAATGCAAAAATCTTGATTTTCGTAATAGAATCTATAGTCTTTTTGCCCTCTTGTACCGCCATCTTGGATTTATCATGTAGGCCCCGCCTGCGCTAGGTATGCGTTAGCAATCTAGATCTCCTATATCTATGCACTACACGCTATGCCGTTTACGGTTTGTGTTTCCACTTAGTCAAAAACTACGGTTATATTTTTTTAAAATTTAGGCTCCCCAAAATAGAATATGTTCCGCCGCCCGCGCAGGTAAAAGACCCTGGCTTGCGAGGTTGCCGCCGCCCCTGGCAGCCTATACTGCTTTCCTGTCTGGATTTCGGCACAGATTTACCTACCATATCCGCACGATTCCAGATATTCAACATCAACTGCAGCAGATTGACAAAATCATCGACACTGAACTACTTCCTGCACTCACGGCCGGCTGAAATCTTTCCTTGCAAGATCGTAAGCTACTTGCGTTGCCAACACGTCTGGGAGGTTTTGGCATACCCATTCTCTCGGATATGTGTGCCAATGAGTTTGAGAATTCCAAAACGATATGTTAGAGCCTTACAGAAAAGATCGTCGAGCAGAATGTCAGAGAAGACAGACCTGCCGAGCCAGTCCAGAGAATACGTCGTCGTAATGAGAAGGAAGAGAGATACAAAGTCCAGCTCGAACTCCTACGATCGACCATGTCAGCAGAACAGATTCGCGCCAATGACCTTGCTCAGTTGAAAGGTTCTTCAATCTGGTTGACAGCTCTTCCACTTGCTGACGAGGGATATTTCATCAATAAGTGGGACAAATTCGAGTTACTTATTTTAAGGGCTCGACATCGTCTTCAACCTCCCATATTGTTGTTGGCAATGAGACCATCATTCAAACTCAGTGCGCGAGAAATATTGGAGCACTATTTGCTAATACCCTAACAATGGAACGGCGAATTTCTGCTATTTATAAATCTGCCTTTTTTCAAATCAGAAATGTTCGGTTGGCACGGTACGTTGCTCAAATCAAGAAATACCTTTCTGTTGAATATATTGAAATTCTAATTCATGCTTTCACGACCAATAAATTGGACTACGCTAATTCTCTTTTTTACGGTTTACCTGATTACTTGATTCAGAGACTTCAATATGTACAAAACTCAGCAGCAAGACTTTTAACTGGATCTCGTATAAATATGATCATATTACACCTATTCTTAAATTAAAGATCTTCATTGGTTACCAGTACGGCAAAGAATCGTTTTTAGAATTTTAATTTTAACCTTTAAGGCACTTTATGATGTAAAATCTCTTCAATACTTGAAACATATGCTGCAGCTTTACAATCCTCCGCGCAGCCTCCTCTCATCCTCAAAGAAATTACTTTCTGTTCCCAACTTTGAAGAGCTAGAGCTTTCTCTGAAGCTAGAGCTTTCTCTGTTTGTGCTTCTGTTCTGTGGAACAGCTTAACAGATGATCATCAGACAGTCTGAATCATTAAACGTTTCTAAGAGTAAAATCAGAACAATTTTATATAAACATATGGAAGTGGCGCTATATAAATTATGTATTCAGCTTTTGGTGGCATCTCACTCGATTGAATATAACAGTTGAAGGGTCTTGTAGGTAGATACATTTATTAGACCTATAAACCAGGAACGGCTGCGAAAAATGCAACTAAATAGGTCCCTGGTACTGTTAGGAATCGAACATACGGCCCTGTTAAACTGTTATGGTGTCCCGGTCTTTCTCTGTGATATTTTTTTTAAATAAAGGCACAATAGCCTTTTTTTTAAATAAAGGCACAATATTGTATTTATGACTCTATCAGTTCTAAACTTCCAAGAGGTCCATTATAAGGACCACCTGGTCCAGTGTTAGTGTTACTACAGGAGAAAACTGGAAAACCTGGCTAAATGGATCGGATTGTTCTTGAAACGCAAAGATGCGGCGAGTTCGAAAAAAGTGTCACAGTGGAGCACATTATACTGGAAGAATATATATACGTGGTGAAGTAAAACATGGATTTTGGATTCCTGACAAATGTGGTAGAATTGAAATGATGCGTTTGAAGATTTCCTATCATTCAAAGCTGAATAAACGAGTGCGGGATCCCGCTTTCCTGGACAAAATGTAAGGTGTGATGATTTTGATGTATTGAAATAAGTCACGATACACGATTCAGCAAAACTACATTATTTTTCTTGTAATAGATTATGGTATAATTGTGAAAGAAAGTTTGTTCAAGCAGCAATAATAGGGAGCTTTAGCAGCGAAGACGAATACGAGATTCGTCAAGCGAAACGCATGTTGTATGCTTACTCCATCCCGTACTGACGCGAAAAAGTCGTAGAGTCGTAGAGTACGAAATTGTGGAGAAATCTCGTAGTCCTCACTACGACTTTTCAAAAAAACGAAGAAAGCTGGCTTTTTGTTTTTCAAAAATAGCGTTTATCCGGCGTAAATAAGCTATTAGTATTAAATATTTGGCTTGTTTTTAATGTTATGACTTATTTGCACATTTTGTAGGGGATTTTGGCCTGCAGGAGATTTAGTTTATATAAAATTTTTCTTTCGTTGTTTGTCTACTACTATAAAAGCAACATTTGAACGGAAACGAGAACGACTACGGTGATTTCCTCACACGCGAGCAAATCTCGTACTCGCTGCTAAAGCTCCCTAATCTAACTTGGACAGCGAGAAATCTTCTCGACAACATTTGAGTTCTTTTAACCGGCACTTGAACTTTCGTTTAGCGTGTACTGACTTATTTCACTACAGCAAAATCGGATGCCTTCCTTTCCGTCCCGACAAACTGGGACCATATAAACAGCCTCTATAACATATTCGGACAGGCACAGGCGTTTACATCTCTCTTTTCTCACGCGCCACTACCAAGAGAACCTGGGGACGAGATGACGTCACAATCGATGGCTTAATCTTATTATGACGAAACAAACGTATCATGCATGCGCGCTAGACTAAATTACACAACAGTCCTCCGCAAGATGGATGCTGTTTTGTGCAGATTGCAGTCAATTCGACAATCTATTGAACATGTGACTACATTGTCTACCGACCAAGAGGAAAAAATTCAAACAATGCTTTTTGATATCTATAAAAAGTTACAGACAAGTTCTGCATGCAGTGAAGACACAATGAAGTCATTATGTGATGAAGTTCTTTTCATGTTAAGTGAAATTGAAAGTTCATTGTATATTCCAGTTGTCAACCACTTGATAACACGCGTGAAATGGCAGGGAAAGTATAATGAATTCAGAGTACAACACGAAGACACTGTATGCCCGGCTCAAGAAACTGAAGTTAATGGAAAGTCTAAAAAAGCAAGTAAAATTGAAATCAGTTGCGAAGATGAATCAATAAGTGGTGTAACTGATGATTACTGGGAGAAAAGGAGGGACAGAATTCGCACTTTGTTGGGTAATACTAGTTTAAGATTTGATAAAAATTGTCTTAAAAGAAAAAAACAGAAATCATTGTCATGGGATCCTCGTATCGTTAGAACCGAGATAGAATTCTCCTGCGAAGATCGTCAAGTTTCGCAGTTACTTCGTTCATCAGAAGAACGTACTCAATATTCTCAGGTGGATAAAGACACGTTCTGGGGGCTTACTGAAGACAATTGCCGGGTAGGCAAAGAGAAAAAGTGGAAATCTGGAGAAACTATTTGTGTTTTAAACTGTAAAAGTGAACTAAGGAAGCTTGCAGAGTTTTTACAAGAAAAGAAAGCAGTACGTTCATTTTATATTCGAAGGAAACCGAAAGGTTTAGCCGGATGTAAAGGGACATGGCTAACTCCCGCGTATTCCCCACCGCTAGTTGTCAAATATGGATGCCCTGGAAAACGTTGAAGTAGTTCCAAAGGATTCATAAACGATTGAAGACCAATTGAAAAGATTCACAAAGTCAAGTATATTAGTAAAATAAAGATATTAACGAACTTGGTATTATGCAACTTCTCACACAAATAAATATTTTAAGAAGAAATTTTGGTGCGTGTTGACCGTCGTATACGTAAATAAAATGGAGAGAGGAGAACAGGACCGCTCTAGGCTCATCTAGTAACGCGGGGGTCATAATTTTCAAGGGCACGCCCATCCAAGACATGCCCTGCAGTCACGGAAAATTACATAAAAATTCCACAGTTCATGAATATTTAGTATGAATTGGTCTGTATAGCAAATTTGTACACAACATATTAGTGTATATGTGTAGTTATTAGTGTCTACCTTACTAGTCATCTTCGTTTTGGCACAGTTTATAGAAACTGTGGTTTTGGCCGTCTGATAATCTGTTATTGTGAAAAATGATAAGACGTATAATTGTTTAAAAAACAATGGATTTTTGACGCAATCCCTGGGCAACATACACACGCGGACACCAAAATAACACTTTAAGGGTCTCATATCCCTAACTGTTTATATATGAGTGTGGCTATAACCAAGAAACTCACGGCCCGAGGGAAATTCCCACGTCATTGTTAGTGCACTAATAAAAAAATCATTGCGTGTTCATCTGTGAAGAGCCGGTGGGATCTCAGTCAAGTAAAATAACATTTTCCATATCAATGCTTCATCCCACCTGACCGGGATGAAAATTTTTTGTTGATTTTGACCAACTGTATATTAGTGACGGGTAGTTGGAAAAATAAGAGGTGGAACACGTGCAGTTTGTTCAACCACAATAAAAATATTCGTAGTCCCATGTTTACCTTAATTTCGTCCCACCGCAATGGGATATTAGAGGAGATAAATATGAAATAATTCATCGCACTCAGGTGTGCTTCTCGGCCAACAGCATTTGCTGCATGAATAGCTGGCCCTGCTACATCAAAATGTAAAGCTATCTAGGACGAATAAATTTATTCTAGGATTAGAAATAAATGAATCGCAAATTCTATATACATTAATCCACCGTGATAAGAAGATGGTGTTATTCGATTTTACTGCATTTTTGTGGAGAATTATCAGGTTTTGCATCAGCAAATATCGTTTTCAGAAACACAATAAAAGGAAGAAAGTTATAGACACCTTCATTAATTGCATGTGATTAAAAAAAATAAGAAAGCTAAATAGGTTATGGTTCATATGCAATTCAATTGCTACCATAATTCCGATATAGTTTGAAAAGGAATTATTGGCCATCTTTTTATCATGGTGGAAAGACATAGTTCTTAGAACTCTATATTGTATATGGGTTATTATCTTAGGCACACTTAGTCACACTTTCGTATGTCCCCATGACGCGTTCACACTAATCGACTAAGGGATTGTCAGTTGTGTTCACACCACACGTTTTTTACATTCCAAGTGTCATTTTCACTTTTCGTCAAATCTGTTTTGCTGGTATACACTGCTGATCATTTATACACTAGGACGACTACATCACCAAATCAGTCCGTTTGTTCATTTGTTCGGGATATAGATGGATGTCTCGCTGTGTATGAATACGGTCCGCGGTCAGGGCTAGAGTAATAAGGCTCAGAACTTACAGACATGCTGTACAGTGAGATATGAATCTATAACCTTTGTTCGAGTTGATTCCAACTGACCTCGAGTTTGTGGACTCACACCAGAGATCTCAGTGACCAAATGTATCCCAAGACTGCTACCGTGAATGCATGTTTTGAGTGTGCTAGGTCACTTCGGTTCAATGGCCTTGCTACATGTAAGCTAACATGCTAATGCTATGATTAAATCAGCACACATTTCTAAGAACTCCATGGTATGATGTGATACAATATAGTTCGAACCTCCAGAGTCACTAGCATTGCTCAGATTACTGTATGATGAATGAGCAGATGCACTGCCTGATCTAGAACGAGGTGAAGATGCCTCAGCTTCCAAAGGTAAACTTTTGAAATCCAACAGATAACTGCGTTGATCTACTTGATATAACTGAATACCAATTTTGATCTAGAAATAAAACAAGAATTTGTTAAAGAGATATAGCAATAAAAATATAAAATTAAAATAAATTATCCAATTTGTACAAGCCGTTCAAACCCCAAATAATGACAAAATATTAAAGAATGAAGACGAGACATCAAACATTTCGCCCTCGTCGATATGGGTTTGTTTGAAGTTTTGCGGGCATATGTGGATTGACAGTAAATCATGGAAAGAATTTTTACAAAAAGATTTTTTGCTAAAATTAAAAACAAACGGAAGAAAAAGGAAGAAATTGACGTTTTTACTTACACTTTTACGAGTTACTTCGTTTTCCCGAATTACTCGAAGATGAAACGGGTTGATGATTTTCCATGACTTAAAATAAGAATGATGGTAGGTGTTATAAATTAGAAAGCATTGTCTAATTTTACTTTCAAAATATCCATGACACCATTTGAGACCTGCCAAACAGCAGGAAAATACGAGGGTCGTGAAAACTGATAAAAAGATACAAAATTGTAGCCTAACATCACTTGACCACAGATGATAGATTATACCAGATGTCTCACTCAGCCAAAATTGTGTCCGCGATTTTTTATGAGCACGCGTTGGCCGCCATTTTGCAGTAAGTGTAATCCACGCCATGAAACGTGAGCAATCACGCATTTTGGCAGTAAGCGCCATTTTGGCAGTGATAGCCAAAGTGTCGCACGCGTCATCTGGCGTGATAGCCTCGCGAAAATCGCGGACACGAAAATCATAGGGATAGATACACAGTGAGACATCTGGTACAATCTATCATCTGTGACTTGACCAGTTCTTATGTTCGTATTAAATCGGTGAATGAGCCACGAAATTTAATTACTAGAAAGATCATATTTGTTCACTACACCGTATATGCGTCTGGATTGATTTTAGCATCGGTATCAGGTTGCCAATCACTATCATTGAATATTTGTCTCATAAGACAAAAAAATATAACAAGGTAAATATATCTTACATATCCCAAGGACATCATAGCCTTATAGACTTCTCCCATAATATCTTGAGGTTTACTTTGAGATCGAATACCTGTATAAGAAAGTGTATTTCAAATTTAATAAACAGTACATTATAGTTGCAAAATAGTTATAAAATATGAACAAACCTAAATGCCACTTTGGTTTCTTTGTACTAGCTAACTTGATATAAGGATGTTTCTTTGAAGGTGTGGGAGGAGTGTCGGCTAGGAAAACAATGGAAATTAAATTATCAAGTATATTTGTCAAAACGAAGTATTTCGTATTTGCATCCTTTTCGCTGACGATTGCCTGACTCTTCCACAGTCTCTTACATTTGCTTCGGAAAAAATTAAGATATACTTGCAGGCGCAAATTTGCAGGTGCTTGCGGATTGGAACAATAGGACGCATAGGTCCACAGAAATGCATTTCCATAATTTAACGCGAGAGACTGGGAACGAGTCAGAACAACTGCCATGTACTGGTAGCCGAAGAAAAGCATGTACAAGATCTTGATTGCGAAGCACAGAGCGAAAGCTTTCTAGACTCCGTGGATGCTTACAGTCTCGGACGAGGGAAAGCGCGTACATTGTAAAGTGACAGGAAGAGTAAAAATAAACAAGCGTTTATTTCAATCTTCCTACCAATCCTTTGTCATAAATTGCAGTAGTCATGCATTTATTTGGCACTGCATTAATAGAACTGATGATTTAGTGTAATTTTCTTGCCCCTGTAAGTGTCAGCATTTAGTGTCAGCACTTTCGAAGAAGACTTAAGCCGGTTTTTCACTTCGCCCGTATCGAAACGTACTGGTGAGCATGCGCAGATTGAAAAGAGGTTTATAAATCCACGTACTTCCGGGTATATTCGCGTATGAAAATGAAAAGTTCGTCGCAAGTCAACTTTTTGGCGTACTACAGAAGTACCAACCAATCAACATTCACGAAATTTTAAAATTTAAAAACGTTTTTGATACGTTTTGGTACGGTACGCTTGAAGTGGAAAATCGGCTTTAGAAGACCATGTATCATACCTACTAATTTACTATCAACTCAAGTAAGGTGGTAGACAGGTAACTAAACAATCCCCCAGGGGTCCCTTGGGGGTTGTTTAGTACCCGTAAAATATGTAGCTTTAAGAAGCTACGGAATGCTTACATGGCACTTTCCGCTCAAATGTTGTTAAAGTTGTCGTCTTGCTGACAGGACTAACCTGAAATTTAGGAAGGATATAACAATAAGGATCGAGCTACAATACTAGCATGGAATAATTTAGGAATAATTTTTCTGTATCTATACCCTAACTTAATTTTTTGTGGAAACTATTAAAACGCAAAAAAAATGCTGCACTGTCTCAAGGATTTTTGGGCAGGATTGCAGGTTAATCTGCCAGGAGCGAAGTTTGCTGCTGTAAAAAATCACACAGTACGTGGAAATTTTGAAAACCACATGCAGTACTTTATTCCGATGCTTCGACACTTCGAAACACAATTTACAAGGCAAAGACGGATTAAAGCTTTTTTGTTTTCCACTGGGCCAATTTATTCGCGCAAAGAAATATTTTCCTTTGTCGGCATCACTTATCACGTCAGCAAACGCGATGTCGACAAAGGAAAAAGTCGAAGCGACGAAAGTTTTCGCCTATAGTGGAAAATATTTAGGTTGGGTAATTGAAAAAGGAGGGTGTTGTACACATTAATTAAAAAAGATACTTATAAATTACCTCAGTCTGTTCCATTTTATTGTCAGGTAAAGGAAACATTCCAACATCAGGTGGCATTTGTCGCTTAAATGCTGGAAAAATAACATGAATAAAAAATACGATCACTAATTTTGCTGTTTCATATATATAGTTATTGGTGGCATAGATAGTGGTAAAAGGTATGTGCCTTTCACTTTTGGGACTCGTTCAGAAGTGAATATAATTTTCTTCTTTCGCATCTGAGAAGAGTGTTCCATGC